TCTATAACACCATTATCTGTCCCTTCTAACTCTGGCATAAAAAGAACTCATTCCACTGACACAAGTCTTGAATCACCTTCTCTACTGGTTACCGCTAGCCCCCTAAACTTAAACTCTAATAACACACCAAACACAACAACCTTCGCAACTCCTAAATCAGCTCCTAAAAAGAAAACAAAAACTGATGACAAAGAAATTTGTAAAATTAGTCTATGTGCCCATTCAAGTATTGAAAAATTAATTTGTGCGAATCCAGAAAAATTTTCGTTATCAGCATTACAAATAATTGCCTTCCTAGAAAATTCCTTTGGAAGTAGTGATCCCCTCAAAGAAGCTCATAATTTCACCACGAACATTCATTCTCTCCTCGAAGATCTTACTCAAATATACCAAACTGTATCCGATAGATCACTTAAAAATCGCATTACAAGAATAACGAAAAAGCTAAAACGCACATTAAATTCTATAGACGCTGACGAACTTACCAGCCTTACGTCCAATAATTCATGTGACTCTAACTGCAATGATATCGATCCTTTCTAAAATTACTTAATTAGTACAAGGTAAATTCTTACTACTAACCAATTAAATTTTTCAAATTCACTATTTTACAATGGAACTGCGACGGATACTATCCGCGCCTTGAACACATTCAATATCTTATATCAATTTACCATCCAGATTTTCTTTGTCTCCAAGAGACTAATTTTAATACAACGAATATTCCTCATCTTAAATCCTTTGAAGGATACCACTTCATTAGAACGAACTGCTTAAGAGCCAGTGGAGGTGCATCTATATTTGCGTCCAGCGAAATCTTCTCAACAATGCTACCATTAATAACGAATCTTGAGGCAATTGCCATAACTACATATTGCCCTAATAAACTAACCATCTGCTCCATATATATTCCCCCAAACCATTCTCTAAAAGAAGAAGAGCTCCTAGACCTTATATTGCAACTTCCACAGCCGTTTATTCTCACAGGAGACTTCAATGCACATAACGTTATGTGGGGTTCTCAATCCACATTTGGACGGGGAAAAGTAGTTGAAAATATTATTAACTGCACAAACTCATGTCTTCTTAACACAGGATCTAACACTCATTTTAATATTTCATCTGGATCTTTCTCTGCTATAGATCTTAGTATTAGTGACCCTAAATCTGCACCTTTTTTGACCTGGCAAACAGCTGACGATCTCTTTGATAGCAATCATTATCCTATAATAATTTCCAACAATTCTAATGGGACTGCCTCTGCCAAAAGCTATTGGCGCCTAAAAAAAGCTAACTGGCCAGAGTATTCAAAAGCCGTTGACACTCTCTTGCTCGCGCATGATCATCTAATAATAAACGATGTAGACTATTTGTTAACGTCAATAACAGACACTATTCTTTCAGCTGCTAAGACTCATATTGGCAAAACATCATTCTCTCCAAATCATAAAGTAGTTCCTTGGTGGAACTCTTCTTGTGAAGAGGCGATTCGTCTATCCAAAAAAGCTTTAAATAAGTACCAAAAAAAACAGAAGCCTTGAAAATCTAATAAATTACAAAAAATTCAAAGCCAAGGCCAAACACGTAGTCAAAAAAAGTAAAAAATCATCCTGGCAAGATTACGTATCATCTATCAACGAAAACTCCAATCCTAGCCAAATTTGGAAAAAAATACGACAAATTCAAGGTCACAAAACTAATAATAAAATTACTCGTTTAATTACAAATGGTATAGAGATCGCTTCATACGAACTTATTCCTAACGCCTTTGCCAAACATTTCGAAGACAAGTTCAGAAATAAAACCAATAATATTGCTTTGTCTCATCATGACTTATATTCACACAGAAATCATCTGATATCATCTGAACATAGTAGATCCCTTAATTCTCCTTTCACTATGCATGAGCTAATATCTGCCTTAGCTAATAGTAGAAACACTGCAGCTGGACCCGATGATATTCCTTATGCATTCCTAAAGCACTTGTCTAATTATAGTCTTAAAAAACTCCTTAATTTATACAATATAATCTGGAGTTCCCATAAATTTCCATCTCAATGGAGCAAATCTATAGTTATACCAATACTCAAGCCAAACCAGCCAACTATGTTTCCACAATCTTACAGGCCCATCTCTCTCACATGCACTATGTGTAAGCTAATGGAAAAAATGATTAACAAACGTCTTTTGTGGTATTTTGAAAAACATAAGATTATTCCAAAGGAACAATCTGGCTACCAAAGACAGCGCTCCACAAGAGATAATCTAGTAATACTCCAAACCCACATCTCCAACGCAATAAATTGCAAGCAAGATTTGATAGCAACTATCTTTGATATAGAAGGCGCATTTGACACCATCTCTAGAAATGCAATCCTTGACAAACTTTTTGAATGTAACCTTACTGGCAACATATACGCATTTATCAAAAACTTCCTAACATCTAGATCGTTCAGGGTTTCTGTCAATAACTTCCTTTCTTCTCCACACATCCAATATGATGGAGTTCCGCAAGGTTCAGTTTTAAGCACATCCTTATTCATTCTTTCGATTAGCAAGTTAAGTGAAAATATAGCTCCACCAATCAAATGCGTATTATATGCCGATGACCTAATAATGTACTGTCATGGTAAATCCAACGCAACTACTAGTAAAATTCTACAAGTAGGAGTAAATGACCTACAAAACAAAGTAGCTTCTCTAGGACTTACCCTCTCCCACTCTAAATCCAAAGTTATTAAATTTAGCAGAAGAATGAGTTCTTTTGATCCGGAAATCACTATCAACAACTTCAAGTTACCGGTTGTTGATAATTGCAAAATATTAGGGCTGATATTTGATTCAAGATTAACCTGGAAACAACACATACAGGAACTTAAAGGAGTTTGCCTAAAAAGGTTAAATATACTCAAAACACTCTCACATTATCATTGGGGCGCGGAAGAAACTACTTTACTGAAAGTCTACAGATCACTTATCCGCTCTAAGCTAGACTATGGATGTTTCGTCTATATGTCTGGTACTAAATCAATATTAAATTCACTGAACACAGTTCACAATACAGCTATTCGTTTATGTCTTGGAGCATTCCGTTCTAGTCCGGCAGAAAGTCTGTACTGTGAAGCTAATGAACCTCCTCTATGGCTTAGACGAGAAAACCTTCTTCTCTCCTATGCTGCTGCAATTTCTTCCAATCCGTCCAATCCCGTATATCATCTATTTACATCATCACATCATACCCAAAACAGCCCTCCATGTAACTTAATTATACATCCTATTCCTAGTCTTCTACAACCGTTACTAAAAGATATAAATTTGTGTGAAACCAGAACTATACCATTCTCCAATAATCCCTATTGGACCAACATACTCCCATATCATGATATTTCACTCACCAAATTTAACAAGGAAGATACCAGTATTAGTACATTAAGAATTCTCTTCCTAGAACTTATAAACAAAAATAAATATAACATGGTTCTTTACACTGACGCGTCGAAGACTGAAGGTGGGGTTGGATATTCTGTAACCACTGTACAACAGTCTATCGAACTCTCTAAAATCTCTCCTTGGTGTAGTATCCACACTGGTGAACTACTAGCTATCTTACAAGCTTTTAAATATGCCCAACGATATACAAATACACACATAGCCATATGCTCCGATTCGCTTTCATCTATACACTCCATTAACGCTATATCTACCAAACATCCTATCGTCCAAGATATTCATGACATATATCAGCTTCTTATAAAACAAAATATAACTATCACTCTGATATGGGTACCATCCCATGTTGGTATTAGTGGTAACGAAAAAGCTGATTGCCTTGCCAAAAAAGCCGCATCATCCACGAACACCATTATAAACATACAAATTTGTAATGATCTGAAAGCCAGACTAAAGAAGCTTAATTTATCTACGTGGCAGATTCACTGGAATAATGTTACCTCAGCGCTGCATGAAATCAAACCTACAGTGAACCGTCTTACCTATCCCAGTTTATCTCGAAAAAATATGGCAATCATACGGAGACTGCGTATTGGACATACCCGTCTAACTCATGGCTACCTGATGACATCATCTCCACAACCAAAATGTCAACACTGCAATACGACTCTCCGAATCAGGCATATACTTATCGAATGCCCTTTATATGCCAAAATACGCCAACAGCTCAATATCAGTACTAACTTCAAAGAGGTCCTAAACAACACAGACGAAATCAACAAGGTCATCAAATTCCTCGAGAATAGTCAACTGCTCAACAAAATATAAATGTTATATTACAAGTTTTTATTATTTTCTCTGTATGTTAGATGTTAACTACATTTTATTTTGTAATTTATATTATATTACCATGTAAATCGTAACTCGTGCTAATGACCATAGATGTCACATGCACGTTAATTTAAATAAAAAAAAAAAAAAAAAAAAAAAAAAATGTACATATTTAGAAAATAAAGTTTAATAAAAATAATTATTTTTGGAATATATAGTTATTCCTATACAATGCTTTTAATCAGGAAAAAAATTCAAATTGTTTCTTATGCTGTATTGTGCTATCATTATTTTCGATCATAAGTATAAACAAGTAAAATGAGTGAATCGGAAGAATATTTATTTAATATCTGTGAAAAATTTTAAATCTGTTAAAAATGTTAACATATTGATTGCCAGAGATTACTAATAATTGACGATACGACGCAAGTTTTTCATTTTTTAACGCGCTAGAACAAAACGGGATGATTTTCAATAACCATCAACATTTCATTGACAGTGGCAAGCAAAAAGACTCCTTTATTAAAGGCAAAAAGACTTATTAAACAAGTGATTGTAGACTATTTATATCATCATATTTCGCATCATATTTCGCTTAACAAGAAGAAAAACCAATTAACATTTTATTTGAAATTTTGACTAAAATCTACCTAAAAGTGTAAAATTTTCATATGCATAACAATTCATTGAGAAAATAAATAGATTGAAAGCTTTATTACCGTCCATACGCTTCAAAAAAGTTGTTAATTATTATCTTCTTTCTAGATGCAGGTGGACCAATGACGGCTATAACGTTGGGAGGAGGTTGATCATAAGGGAAAACTTGAGGACCAATATTTGACCTACAATAATAATTTTATAAATTCTGCCACATAATAATGATAGTGTTATATAAAAATGTACTTTTAAGATATATTATCGGTATCAAAAAGAAAAGTTTCTAACGAAGTTTCTTCTCTAGAAAGCAAAGTTTCTGCTCTCTTGGAAATCTCTTGGGTCTCTTTTGACTTCGACGATAAAATATCTTTGTTAAAGAACCAAGTGCTGCCGATATTTTAACTTTCGAAGATAAGATAACAGGGATGGAAAAGAAGATGGAGGAAACGGAAAGTAGCCAGAGAAATTCGATCAATTAGAGTAGAGACAAAATACGACGTGATGAAATGAAAGTTGGAACTACAGCCGACATTTATGGCTGTGTGCCATTTAAGTGGAGGAAAGATCTCTCCCTCAGATCGATGGTCCATTGAATAAATTGGCTGGAATTAAATTGTTTTCTACTTTGGATTAAAATTCTGGATACTGGCAGGTAGAAATGGACCCAGTAGATGAGAAGAAAACAGCCGTCGCCGCGGGATCTGGATTGACGCAATTGAACGTTATGCCATTTGGACTGTGTAATACTCCGGTGACATTTAAGAGACTTACGGAAAATGTGTTGAGATTGTTATCTTGAAAAACGTGCCTTGTGTATTTAGATGACATAATCTTAGAGAAGACTTTTGAAAAGCATCTGAAGAAATTAGAAAATGTTTTTATTTGACTTTAAGCTGCCCAATTGATGTGCCAGATGTTTCAAAGTAAATCAATTATCTAAGTCATATAGTCAGCAAAGAAAGAGTGGCTGTATATAAGGAAAAAATAGATTTTACTACCTAGTGATAATCATCAAGTGAGAAGTTTTCTTGGGCTAAGACATTGATAGGGATATCGCCAAGTCATTAGCGTGACTAGAAGAAATTACTACTAGAATGGAGACTAACAAACTACCTTTAAAACCTTGAAGAAGCATTTAATCATAGCACCAATATAAGGGGATCCACTGGCACTACCATTGCATGATGATGCCTGTCGATAGGTAAACGTTCGCTGTAGAAATCCATAATAGTAACAAGTACACGAATATACCGTACTAGCCTGGAAAGACTGTTAATCCATTAAATTTATAATCCAAAGGCTCCAAAGTCTTACAATCTCAACAACCCACAGATTAACACTGACGAAACCACGCACATACTATTAAGATAGTAACTGCCATACATTTAATCACACTTCAATCAAAACTTCTACCTTAAAAGAAAGCCTTGTAAACAAAAAAAAAAACTTTTTTTGTAGATCATTGTACCATAAGCTACCTGCTACCATAAGGTAGCGAATAGCACTTCTCTAGAATCACGGTAGAGGATAGAATGTTACATGTCTTGGTGATCCTGCCTATGTAAACTGCTGGCGTTCCTACTTCCTATTATGAGGAAGTCCGGTCCTTATACACTTTCCTGTCTTTTCCTAAAGTATCCCCCTACATCCTGCACGCAAAACATCCAACAGGTCTTGGCAAGCGCGGCAGGTTTTAAAATCATGCCAAATGTCCCCTAAAATAAAATAAAAATGTCATTATCGCAAAATTTATTACTCCAGGCGAGTAGGAAACGATTTCCAGAATCTCGCACTAAACTGCTAGTCTGTCCCACGGATTCTGGGACGACAAGATTCTGACAAGTAAACATACCAAACCTGGAAAATCCTTAACGTCGCTACATATTTAATGCTAGATTCCTAGCAAGAGAAGAAAGAACCATTGAGATGGAAGGAGAAATGTTGAAAATTAAATTAAATGTGACGACGAGGAGAAAGCCTGTAATGACTAAAATCGAGTCACTTGTTTTATCAGATCGGTATTAAAACTGAAACAACGGTAGAAGTTGGCTTCTTCATACACGGAAAATATGAAAACAGCATTATATCAGTAAAAAGTTTCTCTAATAGAGTAGCTTCTTTAACCTTAAAACTTAGTGAAAGATATACTTTAAAAATTGTACAAGTATATTCCCCAACAAGTGGGCATGCCTGCTATGAAATTGAAGAATTATATGAGGACATTACTTTAGCCCTAAACAATACATAATACACTTTACCATAATATGTGGTGACTTCGAGATCGAGAACGAGATCGATTTTATAATTAACCTTTGATGGTATACAAGGCAACTATCGAACACAGTAATTAATTAAATATTGCCCAAGTACTTTCGATCAATAGATCATCTTCAGGGCATTTCGTCAGTTGTGGCCTATCCGACATGAGTAGAAATGTCATACATGTAAATTTGGACATAACAATACAATACACAAAGACAAACAAACACTTTAAAATTTTTAAAAAGGAGAAGCTACATGTTATATAGAAGCCGGAGACAGAATGATATATAATGATATATAATGATAATATATAACATGTAGCTTCTCCTATTTAAAAATTTTAAAGTGTTTGTTTGTCTTTGTGTATTGTATTGTTATGTCCAAATTTACATGTATGACATTCTACTCATGTCGGATAGGCCACAACTGACGAAATGCCCCTGAAGATGATCTATTGATCGAAAGTACTTGGGCAAGATTTAATTAATTACTGTGTTCGATAGTTGCCTTGTATACCATCAAAGTTTAATTATTCAAACATTCAACCTTATATTGATTTTGTAATTACTGACATGAAGCAAATCTTTTACGATGTTATATTCCTGAACCAGTTTTCAACAAGTAGCGACCAGACAGAGCCTTGTAGATGTATTTGAAGTACACATCAACAGCAGTCTCGAAAGCAATTAGAATACAAACACAAATATCAATACCCTGGAAGCTATAGACGAAGCCAGAAAACTAACTGAAAAAAGAAATCATATAACGAAAGAATAAGTCTTCAAACACACTCATTAATGAAAGGGAGGAGAAAATGCAAAGTTCATGAATTTAGAGAGATAAGTAAAATAATACAAAAATCGATTAGGATGGACAACCGAAAGCATAAAAGTGAACAAATCCAACGAACGATTAAAAATAACAAGAGTCTTAAAGTTCTAGCGAGAAAATTGGCAAATGACAAAAAAGAAATAATGTAATTAAAGGATAAGAATGGAAATATCATCACCAACAGAAGTAGGTTAGTAGAGGGTAGGTAGTAGAAGATTTCTTTACAGAATTATACAGAAGTAAACAAAACCATTATGAGCAACGAACAGAAATATTAGAGAATTAAAAAAAAAGATTATTTAACCAAAGATCGGAATTGATACCTGATATATCAACAGACGAAAATGCGCTAAAAAAAGTAAATAAAGCTAAGCAAGAAGATAATATTGTTATTGAAACCGCAAAGATTGGAGGAGACAGATTTAGAGAATATACAGCAATTGTTTAACTTATGTCTGCACCAAAGTCAAACACCTACAAGATGGCACAGTGCACTTACCATTTTATTATTATTATTATCGACCCATAAGCCTGTTAAACTACCTGTCTGAATCTACAATTTATTCACAAATATCACAAGAATCACACTTATTATAAACATAAGGTTGTTACACATTATCTTTAGCCTAGTTTGATGGAATACGACGCGTGTAGATTTCAATTAAAAGTTAATAAAAGAAAAGATTTTCATGTCATATCATGTCATGTAATAAATAAATGGAACGCTATTCTAAAAACAAACCAATTTTTTTTTAAACTACTAAGTTGTACGTCCAAAATAATTTTATATTTCTACATAACTTCTAACTTTAAGAGTTACAAAATTTCCTAATATACCAAATAAAAATATTACTTTTGAAGGGTATCAAGCAACAGCAATTGAGTCCTACAGATGTGAGATGTGTAGATTGGATTAACATCTTCTTTGGTACAAGCTTCTACTTTCTGTTTGGCTGTAACTTGATTATCATTTAAAATTTGTAGGCGGGGAAAAGTTCTAAGACACATTTTCTGAAAATGTGGTGTATCTGCCACAGTATTATGGGCAAGATTTAACCTAAAAATTAATTCAGTTTTCATCGATATGTTGTTAAAAATATGTAATATGGCAAAATAAACAGATTATCAGCATCAAATTAAAACTGCTTGACATTGTATTGATAATCAAATTCCGATTAATCCAAAAATATGGAGTAGAATATTTAACAAATAAAATTCACAAAATTATGGTAATTATATGGGAAGAATAGCAAATGTTTGTGGAGTAGAACTCCTTCACTGTTCCTATTACACAGAAAATACGATCAGCTTAAACGTGAAAATTGCAGATAACTGCAATTTTCCCTAGCTGGGCTCATTCTCTAAAAAAATTCTGAGGAACTAGGTTGAAAATGAATTCAGATCTGGCCGGACCAGATATTCATATTAAGACAGATTCTTGAAAAACTAAGAAATTTAAAATCGGCACCTCTCACCTGTTCGCAAATTTCACAGCAGCATATGATAGCGTAACACGTAATACGAAACAAGTTATATGAGAAAATGCAAAACTTTGCATTGCTTCATATAACTTGTTTACAGAATTGAGTTGTAACAGAATTTCTGTTAAACTGATAATGTGGTTAAAATGAAAATATCAAAAGTCATATGTAAAGTAAAAATCCAAAATAGCTGTTATGAGGAATTCAACTCCAACAGCGAGCTGAGACAGGGGGTTGCACTTTGCGTTTCTCCTTTTGAACTAGATAGGGCTTGGAGATATAGACAAGAAATATAGAAATATTCAAAAGACAGAAAATTTAACACAGGCAAGAGCTAGGGGAAACAGACGCACAGTTGAATTAGAGGACGATATTGAAACGATAGAAAGTTTCACATATTTAGGAGTTGTATTAAACACGGATGGAACAGAAGAACCAGAAATCCAAAGAAGAATAGTAAAGGGAGACATGGCAGATCGAAAATCAGGGTCTACAAAACTATTATCAGACCAATAGTATGTTATGCATGCGAGACATGGGTGATGACAGAAGACACAAAAAGAAAACTGGAAGTCTTCGAAAGAAGAAGTCATAAAAAAGATATTTGGACCTATTAACGAAAACGGAATATGGAGCTCTAGGTAGAACCATGAACTTTACCAACTGTTCAAAGAGACACCGATCTCAAGTTCAGAGATTTCGCTGGGCTGGTCATGTAGTAAGAATGAAGACAGAAAGATTGCCGAAAAGAGCCCTAGATAGTAAAATGCAGGGCGCAAGACCAAAAGGAAGGCCACGGAAAAGATGGTAGGATGAAGTGGCAGCAGACGCGCAAAATTTGCTAGACGTGAGAACGGAAGAAGATCGGCGCGCGACCGACAAGGTTGGAGGCAAAGTTTGGAGGAGGCCAAAGCCCGATTTGGGCTGTAACGCCATTGGAGAGAGAGAGGGGGGCTTGGAGATAAGCAGTTTACTGTGGTTGTGTTCAAACCAAAAAATGTAAACGTGACAGTTTAGAACCAGCGACTTTAGACTGAAATACTGATAAAATGGAGAGTGAGCATCATGCAAAGAGTCATTAAAGAAGCGATGGAAAGAAGCACGATGAGATCTCGGCGACCTATCCTAAATGCCATACTGAAGAATGGCCATAACGAGACACTGAGAAATGAATTATAGTAATGAGAAGGGTAACAAGAGCAAGGGGCAGAGCACTGATTAACCCTTATGTCATCGAGGAGGTCTAGGAACAGTAGCGCGCACGTAAGAGGGAACTAGGAAAAAACTAGGAACTATTCGTACAGAAAAAAGGGACTGGAAAGAGCTGTATGAAAAGCTGGATAAGGACATCTGGAGTCACTGATACAGGATCGCCATGAAGTAGTCCCATGCGTACCCTGCGTACAAAATACCTATGGACAAGAATCTCGAGATAACACAAGAGCTTTGGTCTTGAAGAAGTTGGTAGGCATGATTTACCCGGTCTGCAATAAGGACTATGTCGTCTGCAAACTTCAAGTTGTTCAGAAACTCCCCATTCTCGTGGCACTCTGTAATAAAGCGTTGAATATTTTAGAAGAGATGGTGTCTCCTTGCCTATTATCCTTATCCAAGGAAAATATGTTTGTGTCGCCATAGTACATGCTCACATACCATAGTACAAGAGTTGTGTACCTATGATTAATGCTGCACTCTGTAAGAGTTCTCAACATGGAGTTATGCTGGAATCAAATGCTTTCTCAAAGTCTACAAATATTAATATTAATGGATTATTGTTTATTACTTGTAGGTGGTCATTCATTCCAATGCCAATCCTAAATCCGACTTGCTTTAGGGGTTCGTGAAAATTAGCTTAGGTCCCAGTCTGTTAGTAATTATTCTTATAAAGATCTTATATAAATGAGATATCAAGGTGATGGATCTCTAGTTTTTAATTTCTGTTACATCTCCTTTTTTATGCAATGTTATAATTTTTTTTTCGTGTAATTCCTTTAAAGAGACAGGAATTATAAAAAAATTTAAAGCTTTTATGACGCATTTGCCTCCTAGTTTTATCATTTTACTTACAATTCCATATTCTCCAAGTTTTTGTTGATCTTCATATCTTTTAACGCTGATTAATTTCTTCTTTGGTTATAGCGGAAAGTTATTCTGATCCTTGATCTTGTACTGCTGGAATTTCTACCTCTGGAATCTGAGTATCTCAACTATATAATGTTCTGTATAAGTAATCTGTAATGTTTCAATGATTTTGGATTTCTTTGTTAATATATACTTAACTCGAATTTTTATGCTTTTGTTTTGTTCTATGGTGATTAGCTGTTTCTTTTGTATTAGTTTTTTATGTCTCTCCTAGCGACTTTTGAAATGGTTTTGTTTAAATTCCTAAGCTTTGCAATGTTGTGTGCTTATCTTTCATTTCCCTTCTTGTTCTGCATTAGGTTTCTTGTATCTTCTGTATGTTTTTCATGTCTCCTTATTTATTTGGCTTTGGCACTTCTGTACCTTCTTTTGGGTGTCCACTAGCATTTCGTAGCTCTCCAATATTTGTTTCATCTGGCACGTCTTTCTGTCGGTTACTCTCTATGTCTTCTAGTATGCCCTTGTGTTAGTATTCGCAGTGAATGTGACATTGTTAGTCCTTGTTTTCATATTTCTTTTTTTCTTCTTTATGTTCAAGACTATCTTCGCTCTTACCATTCTATGTTCACTTCTGGTTGAAAATTGATTTAATATAGTTACGTCTCGAACAGCGTATTTTTTATTAGTAAATATAAAGTCAATTTCATTCTTGTTTATGATATTTGGTGATTGCCAGGTCCACTTTTTTAAGACTTTTTTAAAATAAGGTGTTCATGACATATAACCTGTGTTGTAGAAGCAATTCTATGAGTTTGACCCCTTTCGTTTCTATCTTCATATTCGTGAGTATGGAGCATACTATATCCATAGTACCACGGTACGAAGCTTGAGGGGATGAGAGTGGGACAAGCGCGGCGTTACTAACTCTCTCTGTAGTAGTGTCCCATTTCAATATACATGGAGCAATGGACGGTAGAACATCGCACGTTTGCTTACGATACGTTTATCCTAAATCTAGAATCAGTGATCACTACGCAGCGGCTTTTTCACGCTATCTTTAATATTGGTAGACGTGAAGCGGTTCCATCTCGCAACACAATCTTAAGATGGATAAAGAATTTTAAAATAACAGCAGTGTCATAAAAAAAAGTAACAAGGCCCGAATAGAACAGTAAGAACTCCTGTAAACTTATAGCGAGTGAGAGATGCCGTCGTCAGAAGCCCTACACGGTCCTCCTTAAAACATGTAATTGAGCTAATCATTAATCGGGAATAGATTAGAAAAATGTTGCATTAGGACCTAAAACTCCACCCGTACAAATTGCAGATTGTCCAGAAATTAATGGAAAGAGATTTTAAACAACATGAGGATGTCGCTACAAGAATCCAAGTTCTTTTGAAGGATAACTTAGGTCAGCATCTTCTAATGGGCGACAAAACTCATTTTTATTTGGACGGAACCGTTAATAAACAGAATTAGAGGTATTGGGCTCCTAAAAATCCACGAAATCTGCATTAGCGTCCTTTACACTCTCAAAAAGTAACAATGTGGTGTGCTATTAGTCCGACTGACATTATTGGGCCATATTTTTTCGAAGAATCTGCTGGCCATATCGTCACCGTTACTTCTTTTAGCTACATTGACATGATCCAAAAATATTTGGTTCCAAAACTACGCAGAAAAGGAATAAACCCAAGGAATGTGAGGTTTCAGCACGATAGTGCTACGCCACACAATGCCCATGCTTTAATGAATATTCTCCGCAACCTGTTCCCAGAACAACTCATTTCTCGTTTCGGAGATTTTCCGTGGCCTTCAAGGTCTCCAGACCTGTCAATTTGTGATTTTTCCTATGGGGGTATTCAAAGAGTCGTGTATATGCTAGCAAGCCTCGTAATTAAACTGTAAATGGCATAATATAAGCTTTAGTTTGATGTTAATAAAATAATTACTATTTAAATGGGAATAAGCCACAATTAAAGGTTAAAGTAAGTTTATTGATGTTTCAATTTCCACTTCGGAAATCGTTCTTGAAATTGAAACGTCAATAAACTTACTCTAACCTTTAATTGTGGCTTATTCATATTTAAATAGTAATTAATTTAAAATGCCACAAGAAAATAGCTTCAAAACAATGTTAATAAAACAGTATTTTCTTGCAAAATTTCTTGTGTACCATTTAGTTGAAAATCGTCCTACTGTCAATTGTCACCCTGTACAATCTTCGAATCATCCTCCTTGTGGCCTATTTTGGCGTTTAAGGCGGAAATACACCATTCAATTCGGTTAAACAATGTGGATGATTCAATCATATTCTTCAATCAAATTGAAAAGCATAAGTATACACGCTTCAATTTATTCTTCGTTCAATTCGGTTGAACAATGTGGATGATTCGAAACGTACGTACGGAACTTATTATATCACAAGTCAAAATAAAAATATTCTAACACATAAAACGTTCGATGATTTGTTGACACGCTTGTACTAAATTGCGAAGTATTACTCATTCACGTTCATTTGTTGACGCTTGATAATGCAATCCAGTCATTTGGTTGCATCACCACGAATTGAATGGTGTATTTCCGCCTTTATGTCTCCCATCAGTGTAGCATAGTTGATGGTTACCTCTTGTATCACAGTGTTAACATCATCGTAGAACCATTCAACTTCTTCGTCTGTGTAGGCACTTTCACCTTTAGGCACTGTAGTAAATGCGTAAATCTAGATAATGTTAATCAAATGTTTTTGTTAACTTTGTAGATATACATCGCTATCACTTATGCTTGTAATTGTGAGTATATTCTTTGTATGTTTTTATTTACCATAAATCCGACGCCACCATTAGAAAACTCTATAATGCAATAGGAAAACACTATTTCTTCTTTGCTTTTTCGCCATACTTTGGATAATCCAAGTGTATCCCATTGTATATGCTTCAGCTCATTTTCAAGCTCCACAAGTTTTTCGTCCTTCATCAATGTTCTTTTGTTATATATTGCCATAAACCATATTATTTGCCGTTGTCGTTTGTAAAGGTAGTCAGGTCGACTCCGGGGATTCTTAGCACCCTCTGACCTTCTACCTCCGAGACTGCTACTATAGCCTCGTTTTAAGAGACAGCTGAAGACTAAGGGCCTTGCAATTTCTTCGTATTTTATTTTACGGGGATGCTAGGATGGGTTAAGAAATTTGGGGTCATATGGATGATAGGTTGGAGCTTGGTACCCTCTCGGTTAAAGAGAGTGCAAGAGAACCATGGTTCGCGTAGACAAGGTCACGACCCTGAAATAGACCTAACTTTTTCAGGATCATAAAGTGTGTCTACCCACTACCTTATCCAATGAATACAAAGCTTTTAAGTTTACTTAAACGACTACAAGTCGTAAATAGATGAAACTTGTCTTAAACAAGGATTTAGATGATGCTGCATAAGAGGTTTACTCAAAAAAGGTCCCAGAAAGAACCTATTTCTGCTCTGATTCTGTGTGAAGCAGCAGTTCAATTCAACGAAAATCTCGTAGGGTCATTTTCAAGTAAGCACAGACTGGTTAAAATGATTTCAGTTGAGACACGGCATTCAAATACCAGGAAAATAATGTCTGCTGATTCATCAGCAGTAGATTCATTTAAAATAAACTAAGGGAGTTACTGAACGAAAGAAATTACGCCACCAAAAATTTTTACGATTCAGACGAAACTGGGCTCAATTTTAGCTCAGCTTGACCACGAAAATGTCTTGCGTCACGTCTTGAATTATCAGCACCAGGAAGCTAATCAAATAAAAAATGGTAAGTGAGAGTAAACATTATTGCTTTTTGATAACGCTCAGGCTATAATATAATTGGTAAAATATGCTGAGAATAATGATATACAGTTTGTTTCAATGAAAATTTTGACCCCCTCCCAGAAACCAACAAAGTAGACCGTTGAATGCAAAATGTGGTGGTATTGGGTTATTTACAAATGGATAATCGACAGCCTCTTAGACAACTATCTCATACAGCTAGTGTATCAGAATCTAGTGTTTATCAAATTAAAAAATCCAATAAATTTCACCCTTAATAAATACGATTACTTCATCAATTAAACGAAGATGATCCTGATCGACGGCTTCAATTTTGTGAAGAATTTAGTGAAATCATAAATAACAACCAACATCGATTGTATAACACGTGTTTTTCCGGCAAATATACTTTTATGTTAAATGATGAATTAAATAGACATAATTGTCGTTATTGGAATAACAGTAATCCTCATTTATTCATGAAGACATATACACAAACACCTCAGAAATTAAATGTACGCGTTGGAAATTTAGGGAATCACATTTTTGGACCATTATTTCTTGAAGGAAATCTCAACGGAACAACTTATTTAATTTTTTTAGAAGACCTTATTGATCCGCTCATCACTAACACACTGTCATCTGATAATAATATTTTAGAGGATAAACTTTCCAACAGGACGGGGCACCCCCATATTAACATTTACGTGTAAGACAATGTCTAAATCAACGCTTCACCAGGGCGTTGTATTGGTAGAAGGGGTCCAATAGATTGGACAACCAGATCACCAGATCTTTCACCTTTAGATTTTTTTTGTGGGGATACCTAAAATCAAAAATATACACCACACCGCCTGCAGATCTTGCAGAGTTGCAATAAAAAATTGTGACAAATTGCCGATTATTGACACCGGAGGTATTTGCAAATGTACGAAGAGGCTATGAAAATATACTTTATTATTGTATGGTGGTCACAGGAGGCCATTTCGAACATTTAATTGGTTAATTTGATGAAATTGTATGTTTTTGTTATTACTGTGTTTAACCAATAAATTAGTTAAATCCAAAATTATCTTCAAAGTTATTCCGAAGATAAAATAGAGTGTCGTGTAGAGAAATAAATACCTTTCAAATGATATGCTACTCGACCACACATGATGTTTAAAAAAAATGGTGGTTGATACGGGCAGTAGGGGGTTACATTTGAGGGCATAAATTTTGCATGAAAATTCGTATATTTACCGTTTAATATTAAATAAGCATTTAAGGTAAAAAATCTCCATCAAGTTGGAAATTTCATTGCTTTCTATATCAACATTCTCTAGTCGATAATTTTTAAACAGAAACTGCAGAGTCGTTAGTTGGTTATTTGCTAAATCCAGAGTATGAAGTCTTTCTAACGTGCCGAATCCTGTATTAGCACCTTCAGTTTCATATAAATATATATTGTTTTGTCGCAAGATCAAAGTTTGTATATTCAAATTACTTAAGTTTTCCAGCATTCTGATTTTATTGTGAGATAAGTTTAAGTATGTCAAAAACCTAAAATGATGATAACAGTTTATAACCAAATTAAATAAAAACAAGTTTTTTGCAAAGTTACTTATAATTTTAAGAAACTTGAATAATGTCGGTCATTATTTAAAATAAAAATTATACAATTTACAGTAAAACCGTACGAAAACTCTAGAAAAATTGATCATAGTTCCTAACGGTCTTCTCCTCTTCTTCTTTCTTTTAATAAGCAATTCTGTCATGTCACTTCAGGTTTTGCGCGGTCGTCCCGATACTTTTCTACCGATTGGTAATTTATTTTTTGCTGTTTTGACCACACGGGTTTTCCCCATTCTGCTTATGTGATTATTTCCTTCTTTTTTCTGTTTAGTGTCTATCTGACTATCTTTTAATCTTCCGGCGTATTTCCTGTAATTCTCCACTGCACTCTCATCTCCGCTGCCGCTTTTAAGAGTCTTTGTGTTGTGGCTATGTTGGGTGTTGCTTCTGATGCATATGTCAATATTGGTCTTATGGATTTACAGATCAAATATGGCCGATAGGTGGATGTAGATGTGGGCGTGATGTAGATGTTTGGTAACAAAATATAATAAATGGAGAAATTAGGCAATGTAGATTATTTAGTAGAAAGTATGAAAACAGATCGGTTTTTAACAAGACTAAACAAAGGTTACATTTTTTTGTAAAAAGTATTAAATAAAATTTCATTTTATTCATACAAAGTAACGAATGTGTTTTGTGAATGAATTTTTTATATCTTGTGGCAAATATCCTTTTGCTAATTCCATTTAAATTATTTTTTATTTCAGGCCTACTTACGGTCCGTCCCAAACCCTTTTTTCAGTGCGTCACTAAATGTGACGTCATATAGGATTTTAAGAATGTCGAAAATTATTGCTTGACATTTTAGTTAAATCTGACATTTGCAGGATCGTAATCGACTAAATGTGAAAAAATTATTTTTTTAAATAGGTATGTAGTCTTTCTTCTTTCTCGGTATATCTCGGCATATTTAAAATAGTTTTATGACAATAAATACAAAATTAAATTTTCACTGTAAAATGTCTGAAAATACTAACCTGGAATGACAATTATCATTTTATCAGTTGACATTGTGAAAGTATTGTCATGATCAAGATAATCTGCGTCAAATTATATTTATGCGCATCATTGATTGGATATCTATTTAGCGTATTCTAAACTCCAACCAATTATACATCCGTAAGTAGAATTCGCTTTAATATGCAAATACTCGTGAACGATATATAATTTTCTATGTTCTATGTATAATAATCACAGACTTACGTCTTTTTCTGTCACTTCTAGCTTTATGTGTTAGAGAGAATTCGATCAACTATGACGCACTGAAAAAAGGGTTTGGGACGGACCGTATGTATATTTTTAAGTTATGACTTTCGTTTGGATCCTGGTCCATGTTTACCTTTCATTATGAGTTATTATGATTTTGTTATCTTTGTAGCATTTCCATTTCCCCTTGTACAACGTACAAGTTTAAACACCGAAAAATATTCTCAATCTTTTTGCGTCGCTGATATTGATAATATAAACATTTCTGATCTGTATAGATAATTTTAATTGCATTCTTTTCATCCTTGTTCCGGTTAACATTGAGCGTCAAAGAAATATTCACTTAGGTTGGTGGGAAAGTAATGCGGGGAGATTATGATGTCACTCTACGATGGTTCGTCAAAAAGGTTAGTTCATTGTTTAGTTCAGATGTTTCTTTTTTTTTAATTCGTTATTGTTATTCGTTATTCGTTTTTGTCAGTGTAAACTCGTAGTAGCAGTTAAGAAAAACAAAGATGCAAGAGTTAGATTTGGGAAGAGATAGCTTTTGGCGTGTCGGCTTTCAAAAGAAGGCAATTTTTTTAAGTTGAGAGGTGAATTTGAGCTCAAGATGATATTTGGCAGTTTTTGTTGAGTTAATCACCGATTGGTTGTGCTGTGCCCTGTGGGGGAGATTTGTAAGATGGCATTTCCAACCATTTGAGGGGACCACATGGTTTAAGAAGGAATTAAGTGGCCAAGTTTTGAAGAATGCAGTTTTTTGTCATCCAGGATAATCCGAAACCCGAATCATTGTCCAACTTTCAAATAATTGTCCATTTTGTGTGGGACACAGTTGTGTGTTGTTTGCAGTGTTTTTAATTTAATTGCAATCCCAAAAACTTTCTTAAATAAAATACACTAGCCAGTGATACCAGGTACTTTTTATTAAAATTATTTAAAGTAAAAATAAACAACTTTTTATTAATAAAAAATTTGCTTTCATGACAAACTAAAAAACTATAAATAAATAAAATTATAAGTTTTATAGATTAGCTATTGCTAATCCATACCGCTAGTGGGTAGCGGGTAGGTACTTTTCACAATCCCGGTGGAAACCGTAGCTCATGATATTCCACCATCTCACACCGTGGAATCTCATGTCCCAGAGCCTTTATCCTACACCCTTAATATTTATCCCTCCTAGTCCTCAACCCTGGTGAAGGGCAGCAGCGATCACCAGTACCAACGCAAGGCGCAAAAGAAATTATCTTGGACCGGCTTGTTATTAGAATTCCACAGGCATGACTAGGACAGTTTGAATGGCTGTGGTACTGCGGTGTTGAAAGTAACGGGATACTACAACACTACCTTTTCCCCAGGATAACTCATCTCATTATGGCAGAACAAAACAAAACTCAGATGGCCCTCAGTCCCGGGCAGGCCTTAGATGGTCAGAGGTGCGAAGAATCTCCCGGTGCCAAATAGATGATATCCAACGAATTTCAACATGGAATGTTAATAGTCTTTACGAACCAGGAAAACTACACAACCTTATAAAGGAAATGAATCGGCTGAAAATAAATATAATGGGAGTCAGTGAAGTCCGATGGTCTGGATCTGGACAGTTTACGAAAGATAATATTACTATGTATTACTCGTGTAGTGACCCAACAGATAGACATCACCGACATGGAGTGGCTATTGCTCTTGACAGGAAGACCAGTAAATCGGTGACAGATTTTGTTCCAGTTTCCGAACGAGTCATGTTGATCAAAATGGCAGGCAAACCAGTAAACATAAATGTGACACAAGCATATGCACCAACAGCAGATAAGTCAGAAGAAGAAATAACTAAGTTCTATAAAGATCTGGAAAAAGCAATAAGACTAACAAAGAAAGAGGACATAAACATAATAATGGGCGACTTTAACGCCAAGGTGGGTAAAGGAAGATATGAAGACATAATTGGAGAGTACGGCCTTGGAGTTAGAAATGAAAGAGGCGACCTGCTGTGTGAATTCTGCCAGGAGAACGATTTTGTCGTCATGAACACATGGTTTCAGCTCCCACCTCGTAAGTTATATACTTGGAGATCACCAGGAGACCGTCCAAATCGAATAATTAGAAACCAAATTGACTACGTTTTAATAAACAGAAGATTTCGTAACGCTATCAAAAGAATCGCAGCATATCCAGGTGCTGATATTGTATCCGATCATAATCCGATAATAGCAGATGTGAGGTTAAAACTAGCAAAAATTAAGAGAACAAATACAAATACCAGCACACCTATAAATACAAGATAACTGATGAGCGACGAAAATCTGAAGAAGAGTTATGCGAATCAAATTAATGAAAGAATGCGAGCAATAGAACAAAATGATGATATCGAAGAGATGGTCAATGATATTAAAGGAACAATTCTGGCAGCAAACAGGGAAGTTAAAACACAGATCAGAAAGAGAAAGCATAACGAATGGATGACGGACGAAATTATGGATCTAATGGAAAAGCGAAAGCAACATAAACAACAACGTAATCAAGACAAATACAAACAGATACACAAAGAAATCCGTCAGAAAATTAAGAAGGCAAAAGAACGTTGGATGGTGGAAAGGTGCAACGAAATAGAACAATTGCAGGAAAAAGGAGATAGTTTTGGACTACATAAGAAGATCAAAGAAATATCGAATATACACAAAAGCCACCACAGAACAAGAATACGCAACGACAGAAATGAATACATAGAGTCAGAAGAGGAGATAGCAATGGCGTGGAAAGAATACGCAGAAAGCCTTTTTAATGACGAAAGACCAACACAACCAACGCGCAAACTTCCTTCCCAAAAACTTATCAGGGCCATCAATAATGCGAAGTGAAATAGAATATGCAGTTAGAACCACAAATATGCATAAAGCAACAGGTCCAGATGAAATTAATATAGAAGCAATAAAACTACTAGACGAGGAGAATATCGAAATCTTGGTAAGGCTGTTCAATAGAATTTATGATACTGGTTACATTCCGCGAGAATGGCTGCAGTCATCCTTTGTGATGATCCCAAAAACAGCTAATGCCACAAAATGCAATGAACACCGCTTAATCAGTTTAATGAGTCACTTGTTGAAACTCTTCCTTAGGATATTACACTCAAGAATGTACAAGATACTAGAAGAACTTAGCGGGTCAACACAATTCGGTTTTAAGGGAGGACTAGGAACAAGAGAGACAATTTTATGTTTGAACACCTTAATACAAAACTAGTCAGGGGTGTATATTATCCCCACTCCTATTCAATATGTATTCCGAGGAAATATTTAACAAATGTATGGAAAATGCAAATGAGGGCATTAAAATAAACGGCGAGTTAACGAACAATATAAGATACGCCGACGACACGGTGATCCTTGCCAGTACCATAGACGAATTACAACAAGTAATGGAAAGACTTTATTCAGTTAGTGAGGAATACGGCCTGAGCCTCAACTTCAAGAAGACAAAGTGGATGCTGATAAGCAAAAAGCAACAACCTGCTCGACAATTACGGATAAGTAACATATTAATTGACCATGTAGAATCTTATGTGTACCTTGGCACCAACGTAAATGCAAAATTGGAACAGACCATAGAAATTAAGGCGAGAATAGAACGAGCTAGAGCAGCATTTAGCAATATGAAAAAGCTTCTCATAAGCAAGGATTTGTCTCTTCCCCTAAAACTACGTATAGTTAAATGCT